GAGACTATTCTTTCACCATTGTGTATTCTTGGTGCCTTTGCTGAAGATTAACTGATAACCTTGGAGCTCTTATACAAATATACTTAATTTACAAATGAGAAGGCTGAAGCTACAGGAATATCAGTAACTTGTTTATAAAAACGACAATTGTTAGAAGCACAATTAAAATAAGAATTGATGCCCTTAGTGGGACCTGGGAATCCTACCTTTGAAAATTTGCATGATTTTTATTACAAAGACCTTGCAGCATTTATTTTGACTACTTAGAGGCATTTTTATAGTTATACATTTTTGTTGATTGCAGACAGGTAGGTTTGCCAAATAGCTAGATGAGATTCTTTTTGTCTGATTGTGTCTCTGTGAATACATGTGTACAGCATGCATACACATACAGCATACATATAAACTCACATCTTTTTTGGAAACTTTTAATAGCATAGTGGATAAGGATAACATTAAAAAACAAAGCTTAGGCTGGGCATGGTGGCTCATGCCTGTAGACCCAGCACTTTGGAAGGCCATGGTGGGCGGATCTTGAGGTCAAGAGATCAAGACCATCCTGGCCAACATTGTTGAAACCCTAAAAATACAAAATAATACTACTAAATACTACAAAAATACAAAAATTAGCTGGGCGTGGTGGCACCCATAGTCCCAACTCCTCGGGAGGCTGAGGCAGGAGAATCACTGGAACCCAGGAGGCGGAGGTTGTGGTGAGCTGAGATCGTGCCACTGCACTCCAGCCTGGCCAGAGAGTGAGACTCTGTCTCAAAGACAAAAAAAAAAACAAAAAAACCCCCCAAAAAACATTAACAACAACAAAAACAAAGCTTAAAACAGTAACTGTAAAGCCTACTATACATTATGAAAGAATCTGAGTATTGAGAGAATACTTTTCAAACAGCATTAATATAAACAATTTTTATCTCTTTAAAGAGAGATTCCTGAATGGTTCAGATGTATGTTTAGTGAACATTCATTCGCAGACAATATTCATCCTAGAACATCTTTCAGACTATTTAAGGTTGATAAATCTATTGTATTAGTTGAGATGGGTTAGAGTATAGTGCAGTAATAAGCACTGCAAAACTCGGTTTGCTCTCTCTCTTTTTTCTTTTTTTTTAGTCTCCTTTGGTGATATGTTTTCTTTTTAAAAGTTGCTTAGCTGTATGATTGTCCTTAGACAGATACAACAAGAAGAGTATCATCTATTTCTATGCAATTTGATATTTTTTGAGCTCTTTTTAAAATCTAAGTATACTATTTAAGATTGTCACTGATATTCAAGGTGATATAGAATAGTTATTATAGTACTTATTGTATATGGTGTATGAGCTAGAGATGACAAGGCACAAGACTGGCCTTTTATTTATTCCCTTAATGAGTAACTTAATTTTCCTCTAACATAATTTTTTCCTATGTAATACATTATAAGATATACTAATCACACTAGCAGGACATGGAAGGTTATAGTCACTAGATCTTTCTCAGATTAGGAATACTAAACTGTATCATAGAAATCATCATCATTTCCATCATCTCAGTAAATTTTAAGAACTGTGAATATTGTACTTAATATTGATAGACTAATAGTAGAAGACACCGCAGAATCAGCCTATAGTTGAGGGCAATCAGGGATTAGTATTTTTCATTATTAGTAATTTTCACACCCAATGCTGCTTAATGCTATGATTTATGTAAAATTGGTGCCTAAGACATACTTGTTGTAGATAGTGATTAATAAAAATATTATATTTATAAAAAGAATAGGCCATCTAATTTTCTCTAATTCTTCTTTAGGTCGAGATTTAATTTGCATCCAGTCTATGGATGGGATGCTGATGGTATTTGAGCAGGAGAGCTATGCTTTTGGAAGATTTCTCCCTGGCTTTCTTCTGCCTGGGCCTCTTGCCTACAGTTCCCGTACAGATTCCTTCATTACTGTCTCTTCCTGCCGACAAGTGGAAAGTTATAAGTAAGTTTGGATGTTAAATCTTTGGAATCATGATTTTTTGGTGTGTTTGTTGCTGACTAATTTTTGTCCACAAAGGGCTTCAATATCACAAATGAAAAAGAGATTGGTTTCTTTGACAAAATGTGATCGTGGTGACTTAGACGATATCATTTACTATTGTAAAATATTTGAAAGGCAATATAGAGCAGTGGTTTGGGAGGCAGACCTGGATTGGAATCCTGATTTTACCACTCCAGATGTTTGATGGCTGCTGTCCTTATCCTGGCTCTAAAGGAGGTAATATTATTCATTTTGACAAGTTTGTTATAAGGATTAAATGTATGTCAAGTTACCACCCTGTAGAAAATGCTCAGTGATTTTTGTCATTGTTCCTTGATATAGTAAATAATTAAACACAATGTCGAGTGAAAAAAGCCAAATTGAAGATTTAGCTGTGGAATGCTTTTATAATAAAAAGGAATGTGTGTGACATAGGAAAAATACTGGCATGAACTGTTAATATGAATGTTAATACTTTTTTAAAAGAACAATTCGTAGTATAAGTGAAGTATGAAAATGATGCTAGGCAAATAGTTTATACTTATTTGCTAGAAATTCTTATTGGTCGTGGTAAATTGTGTATGAGAGAGACTGTTTTCTTCTCCACCAGCTAGATTTAAATAAAAGTCAAGGTTTTGAGTTTTTGGAGAGGAAGGTTTTTATTGGCAGAGAGAATGGGGAAAAGAAAGTAGAAATTCATGCTGGGAAAAGAAATAGCCTTGGAGGGTTTCAGTGTCTTTAGTAGCTTTATTGTGTTACCTTACTGATGGCAACATTTAGATCTTTAAACATCTAAGCAGCACATCATTATAGCTTTTCAACATTATTTTTGGCCACATCATTTTTCCCAAGATGGGGAGAAGATATAAATTCATCAGGCAACAGATGTAAATTTTTGTCTTCAAGTTTCAATGTTGTGTATATAACAAGTTAATGCAGTTTTCTCTTCATAAGTAGCCATTTGCTTTTTGTAAATGACTAGGCATCTAGGGTTAAAACTCTGAAAATAAGTGAATGTTTGTGAGTAAGCAGAATTTCACTGATTTAGGAAGTGTATCATCATGTAATATTCCGTCTATAATTCTTATGGCTTTTGTCCAAAGGAGATGATTGAATGGTGGCATTGCTACTGGTAATAAATAAACTATTATATTTATTTTGAGAGGTTGGGAAAAATATCTGTATAGTTTACTCAAGCCTGCCAAACTTCAGCAATATTAGGAGATCTGCTTTTTAGCTTTCCACCCAGCTCTGTGCCTCACCTCCTGCCAAGTAGTGCTATGCTAGGGTCACAGTACAAATATTTAAACACCCAGTTACTTACTCTTTGAAATATGTGCATAGGAATTAATTTGATAATAACTCTAGGAGTGATTGGATAAAGAAGTAATGTGTAGATTTCCTTAATGTGTGAGTTTAATCTAACAGAAGCTCACATTGTTTTAACTGTGGTAATTCTCCAACATACCAATCTATTAAATTCATCTTTGTCTTAGACTAAAAAATGTACATGTTATCCATTATGTGGATCATTTATAATGGCAAAAATGCATGAGATATGAGATTATTGTGAAATGATGACAATCAAGAAGGTTTACAACATTAAGTAGTATGTTGTACTTATATATGCTTTCAACTTTGTAATAGATTATATTAAATGATAATCACTGCTGCATTTTTGGATTTTGGAGAAAGCATGAAAACTGTAAGTTTGTTCTTTTGAGGTTTTATTAAATCTGTCTATATTTGGTTAATAGAATATAATCAGTTAATAGAATAGGCTTTAACACATAACTCATTTTCATTTTTGATATTGATACCTTTCATTTCTTTAAACCCCACTTAATTATGTTCAAATAAAAACCAGTGAAGGCTCAGGGTCTCAAACTTCAGTGTGCGTAGGAGTCACCTGGACAGCCTGTTATAAAATGCACATTTACAGATGCTAGTCCCCAGTCCCCTAGATTTCTTTTAATAGGTTTGGGGATAAGACCCAGAAATCATCATTGCAAATTTTTACTCCAGGTGAATCTAATTCAGGGGCACACTTTGAGCACCATTTTTCTTTTGAAGTAAGAGAATTGTTTGCCCTTGAATTTTTTTTTTTTTTTAATAGAGACAGGGTCTCACTATGTTGCCCAGACTGGTCTTGAACTCTTGGGCTTAAGTGATCCTCCTACCTTGGCCTCCCAAAGTGCTGGGATTACTGGCATGAGCCATCACTCCTGGCCTGTTTGCCCGTTTTTGGGGGTAAGGGTAAGGGCCATGTATGTCCAAACTTTGATCATCTTTTATTCTCTTTTCTTATCCTTTGCCTTTCAGAGTTATTTAGTCAGTAATCTCTGCCCTTAATACTTTCTCTTATTCAGCCTTTCCTTCCCATTCCCATTGGTTCAGGCCTGTATTTTTTCACTTGGATTTCTATTTTTTTTTTTCTCTCTAAACTTTGAAGGGTCCTTCTCATATCTTTTCTTTTAAAACACCTCTTTAAGCCAGAATAATCTTTATTTCTTACTAAAAAACCTAGACTTTTTTTTTTTTTTTTTTTTTTTGAGACGGAGTCTCGCTTTGTCGCCCAGGCTGGAGTGCAGTGGTGCGATCTTGGCTCACTGCAACCTCTGTCTCCCGGGTTGAAACAATTGTCCTGCCTCAGCCTCCGGAGTAGCTGGGACTATAGGCGCATGCTGCCACGCCCACTAATTATTTTTGTATTTTAGTAGAGACGGGGTTTCATTGTGTTGCCCAGGCTGGTCGCAAACTCCTGAGCTCAGGCAATCTACCCGCCTCGACCTCCCAAATTTCTGGGATTACAGGCATGAGCCACCACACCCAGCCTAGATTTTTTATAATTGACACTCAGTGCTTTTTATAATCCGGTCCCATTTTACCTCCATGATGTGGACTTTTGGACTTGGAAGTGACTTTTGAAGTTAACTGGTTCAACTGTCTTCCTTTTTTCACCTCCTAGATATATTACTGCCTAAAACACTGATGTTTGGCTGTCATGTATTGCCTTCTTATACTGACATTTTCCAGAGTATCTTGCATTATCAGGTTCTTGAGAGAGGAATCTGTCTTAAACATCTGTTCACTGACTGAATAATTCCATTTGTTTATTCAGTCATTCATTCAGCAAATATTTTGCAACAGGCTTGTGTGCTACATACTGTGCAAGGTACTGGAAATGTAGTCAAACAGACATGCCTCTTATCCTCAAGTAGAATTCAAGGAGGCGGGAAGTCAGATACTTCAGTCCATTTGTGATACAGGCTATAGCAGAGCTTTGCATAGGATGCTGAGGAGGCCTTGAGGTGGGACCTCCAAGAGTTGAATGTAGGGAGGCTCCCTAAAAGAGTCTATCTGCCATGGGTGTTATTTCTCTCCTGGCTGCTATACCGCTTCCCCAGCAACCCCTCAATAGCTCCTAATACATTACTAAGTAAATAATCAGCCTTAAATAAAGATTTAAAAGTGTTTTTGTTGAATTTAATTGACTATTTTAAGAAGAAGTATTCTTCTCCAATCTTTGGCTCTGACCAAATGGAAATATTTGTAGTCTCCATATATGTTAAAGGCTTTTCTCTCTCTCTCTCTCTCTCTCTCTCTCTCTCTCTCTCTTTTTTTTGGCACATACTGTCTATCTCCTATGTCTGAAGCGCTCTTCTTTCTTTGTCTGCACATGGAAATTATGTCTAGAAGCCTCCCTGCTCCCCTTCAGTTCTTCCCTGACCTAGATGTAAGCAACATCTCCTTTTTCTCAATTTACATAGTAGTTTTTCAGTGCTTCCCTTAGGTATTACTCATGCTTTCACTGATAGCAAACATTTATTTGTTTTTCTCCTTGACTAAGCTCAGTACTCCTCGATGGCAGGAATTCTGTATCCCCTGAAATGCCTAGCACTGTACCTTGGTGAAAGTAGGTGTTTGATGAGAACTGACAAAAGAGTGAAAAGTGTATAAAGAAGGCTTCTGTTTTGTTACTGGCATCTTTCAGTGAAAAGAATTTGTCCTGGCATAGTCAAGAATTTAGGTATAGTTGAAATCAACATAATAATGCTCTGTATCTCAAGCTTCCATTTCTAGTAAAGCTCTCTGGGTTACATGTCAAGGTTCCAAAACTTCCTGCCACTCATTGAGGTGATAGTTATGTTTCATTTGAAAATAAATGATTTTGGAGGGTTTACTTTTGTGCTCTGTGATGCCTCAATCTGTGTTTTAGTTACTTGCTGCTGTTTTTACAATGCAATGCAATATGGAGTATTAAATTATGTGGTTGAGTTTGTTATTGGTGCACTACAGGACCTGTTAAGCATTTGTGGTTAGTGAGTTCAAAAGCACCACTGTTTACCTGCACTTGCTGTAGTTGCGATTAGTGCCTTTCTGTTCTGAGGGACGTGTATGGCACTCTTTCATAAGATCTTGTTACATTGGCCCTGATTATTCTTTCAGCAGTCTCAACAAGGAAACTTTTTTGTGTAGCTTATGTTACTGAACACTTGAGTGGTAAGAAAAAAGACCCAAATATTTTATTTCAGAATTTCCAAATCTGCTTGGAATTGTTTGGTTTTGGAAATAGATTTTCATGTACTTTATTGGTCACAGTTAAGAGGAGTTAAGGAAGAACCAGAAAATAGATGCTCTTGTAAGTTTGTCATCATCTAATTTTGCTGTTAAGTTTAAGTAATAAAATACTTTTCTGAGTTGTCTTTTAGGAAGATAAATGGTTTGGATTTGGAAATCAGTAGTCAATTTTGGCTATGCCTCTGCCTGCTGTTTTAATGTTAATAAGGCCACTTTACAGGCTCACTTACTTCTTAGATGAAATAATGACCATAGTTATATAAGAAGCTTCAAATAGCTCAAAGAGTTTTGGACCTTTGTAACAATCTCATGAACATCTATATTATCCCCTGGCAGGTTGGTTTCTGTAGGAAATGACCCACCTAAGTAATTCATTGCCT